ATTACGATTCGGAAGTCCGATTTTCCAATTGTCACACACCAACACAGGGTGATGCGTATGGGCACTGCACACCAACTAGGCGAATGTCAATGGGGAGAGGGGACCGTAGTTCAGAACTTCGGTCGCTGCCCACGATCAAGCAAATGTTTTACAGTGTAGCCCGCTGCTTACACAATGCCGGTGTATTAGCGTCATCACAATGTATATGCTGAACATCATTCAGCAGTCTTACTGCTCGTTTCTTACCAACCAATTGGCGAGTTGCTACTTAGATTGCAACGTGTCCAATTTGTTTTGCAAAATGTCCACTTTGGTTTGCAAAACGTCCAATGTGGTTTGCAAAACGTCCAATGTGGTTTGCAAAATGTCGAGTTTGGTTTGCAAAATGTCCACTTTGGTTTGCAAAATGTCCACTTTGGTTTGAAAAATGTCCAGTTTAAAGTGAAAATGGATGATATATATATATATATATATATATGCGAGAAACGTTACCAACATGATTGTGGGAAGTGAATTTGATACTTACCGTTCGTCGTCTCCTGGAGTCAGCCAGCAGTAGTCGAAATCGGACAACCCGATGAAGGCAATTAGCAGGAATTCGATTTAACCGTGAATGGACAACTCACGCTTAATACTATGGGCATTTATCGAGCAAACTCACTATCCACCTGTGGAATCATTCCTTCTCAGCATCATTGCACATATTTCCTGGGTTTTGTACTCTCGTTCTGTTACAGACACCTTGATTACAAGCTTCATTCATCGGAATATATACGATAAATCTTGCCACATACAACAGGAAGAAGCTAGTGACAAAGACTATTTTCTGCCTCGTTCGTGTCACCAGTACTTTCATATGTCAATTTTTGACCAGCAGTCCAACCTCTGTTCAGCTTATAGAGTACATCTTTACATCTACATGATCATGCCTCCGTGGGCAGGTCTCGTGTAGTAGAGAAAAATATTTTTTCAGTTATTTATATATACTACGTGGAATACCCTTTAGAGGAGGATAATGAAGTGGATACTGTCACACAATGCTACGTGTTTTCCACGTCGAACCATTTTCTATCAGCGTTGTATAGATGAGAAGAAAATTCCACCAATTTGGAAGCGCGGTGTCATCACTCCTATTTCTAAGGGAGGTAGTCCTAATTACCCTACCGATTAACGTCCGATAACGCTGCTTCCTGTGCATTCCAAACTTATGGAATCAGTCATCCCAGATGCATTGATGCAGTATCTCGGATACCACAGCTTAGTAGCCCCGGAGCAACATGGCTTCCGCCAAAATCGCTCATGTACTTAAACTGCAGCTTACACGCAGTAGCTGGACCGAAGCAGCTGACGGTAGAGCGGGCGTCAACGTCACCTACCTGGACTTTTCAAAAGCGTCTGATCGCTCTGACCATCGAATTCTCATCCATTAGCGACCCAATCCTGGGTTGGATAGGTCATTTTTCACATGATCGACGGTCATAGGTGAGAGTCCGAGAATCCCTGTCCCATTCAACAGAAGTAGACTGCGGTGTACTACAAGGTTCTGTGTTACCGCCTCGCCAATTCCCGATTTTTATAAGCGATCTAGCGAGGGCAATAGCTTCCGATTTCCTATTCTTCGCAGATGATATCACGAGATGATGAGCGATTACGTGGCGGAATGACCACGAATGACACCAGCACGATCTTGGTGCGATTTTGAACTGATCAGTTCAATGTAGAATAGTGCCAGTCAATGTAAAAAAATGTCGAGTTGTTCAGTTGTGCCCTAGGCATACCTACATTTATTAACTTGAAGCACACAGCTTACAGATCATTTCCCATGATCGCGACCTGGACGTGCTCGTACAGAGTGACCTCACCTGTTCAGAACGGTGAGTGGCAGCTGCGAAAAGAAGCAACCAGCACTTTGTCCTGCTGCGGAGTGCATTCGGGCGTTTTAAACCACAGATCTTCCTGACGATGCGCAATTTTTACGTGTGTTCGTACGCAGAATGCGATATCCAAGCTTTGCAACTTTGGTTGAAGCATGACTTGGAGGTGCTAGAGACACGACAAAACAGGGCAACAACGAATGTCAAGAACCTGCGCAATTATTCTTATCAGCAGAGATTGCATTTACCGGGTTTTCAGCCAATGCTACTCACGGCTATGCGGTGATCTCAGAGGTGAGTTCCTGTAACTGAGTGAACAATACTGTTCTCTAGAATGCCGATGGAAGTACTTTTCTCTTCGAGTTTGCCAACGCTGGAACTCTCTCCTAAACTCAGTCGCCTCCTCCGTACATTCTGGATACTTTCAAAAAACGATCGGATGTTGCTCTTAGCTCCCAGCTATCCGTTACCTAAGCTGTGCTACTGCGGATCACATTAATCATGCCATTATATTGGATTCATGTGTAACATGAACCCAAGGAGGCGGTACATGAGTGAGCGACCTTATTTTCTCACACAATGCGTGAACTATCACTGCCCCTCATGTCCTTTAATGTGATTGCATGCAATTCTTATCTTACACTGTCGTTATTCGGCAACGCAGTTAACTCGATAGACACCTGACAGATGACTCACACCAACCATGATACGGGACTTGTCAAGCATCTGCTTTTCTACTCGTGATCCATCATTGTTCATTCTTCAACTAGCTGTCGTGTGCGGACCTCATGACAACAAATGTGACCCATGCGTCCTTTGCGTGGTCCTCGGTCTGACTTGTCTGCTATACGCCACGTGTGACCTTAGCACATGATCATGGTGATGATCAGACTTGCTAATTACACAGCCACATGGATTATAAGTGGTATATTTCGCAACTTTGCGAGATACAGTCCAATGAGGTAGTCTGATCATTTGTTACAACAGAATCGCTACGGATAGATATTTTCAAGTTTTCCAAGGCAGTTCCCAGATAGGTTTTCGGGGTGTTCGATTAGTTAAAAATGTTAGCAAGACGGAGAAGTTGAGAGCAGAAGTGTGCACACCAGAGGATTTGCATGCAACAAAGCTGCGTTTAAACAAGCCATATTATCGGCGCCTGCTTCACCATGTTTGTGGTAACTAGGATGGAGGTGACGGAATCCCACTGTTAAGTTAATCGGTCGTCAGCAGCATTCGCATTCAGTGTAACGGTTGGAGATGGTTTTGCGTTTGGTGCGCGTACCGTGGTGAAGTAGGTGTGCTGTGGAGTGAGTGACGGAGCATCAGGTCTTATGCTGCTAGTTCAAGTAGCTTATTTAATATCTATGTCAGATTACCACTGCCGTTCTTTTTGTCCACCTCTGAACCGCGCTTATCAAATGCAAACAGATCTACAGTTGACAGAGAAATCCCATTGGCATAAAATCGGCCCCAATAGACAACAAGATTTGGGCTTTGGTCTACAAGACCTGTGGAGTTGCTTCCCTAAGAATACATTTAGTTAACAATTCAAACAGTGCCCTAGAAGCAGACACCATCTAGCCTAGGAAAATTCCCTTCGCTATTTGCATGGTAATTTCGGAGAATATAACACAGTTCCTGCAACCTTGATGCAGACAGGTGAGCTTTATCTTGGTCTGTCACGTTCCCGCTGACTACACTTTCAAGGAGACACGCAGCAGTCCGCACTGTCAACTACTCCGATTTCTCTCATAGGAAGGCATCGGTTACCTGGCGAGTTTAGCAACCCAACAAACGGATGCATCGAGAAACCTAGTGCCATAAAGTCATGCATGCCAATCGGTATAGTCCGCAGATTCCAATACCACTTTGTCGGAGCCCTGACACTTTGTGGGTCAGCCATGTGGACCTGTTTCGACGAAATTATGCTAAATGAAAAACTAAATCACAGGAAGGTGATTAATTGAAAAACTTGCTCATCTCCTAAACCCAAGGTACCCCTCATAATACGTTGCCTATAGTTTGTGTGATGACAGTTATGAGCGGTCAAAAAATACCCACAAAGGCTCGGACCACTAAATCTATAGTCCGACAACACAAGCACCCTGCCCCATCCCTCCACAGGTCATAACCGAAAACTAATAGATATTCCCGTCTCGAGAATATGTAGTTGGGTAACACAATAAAATTTAAACTGTCTGCGTTTCGATTCTACCCAGATACCTCATTGCATTAATTCCCGGCCACTTCACCCCCTGTGGGAACACGCCTAATAAACTTCAAGTTACCCACAACAAGGAAGCCATCTTTGTGATACTCAAAATGTTAACTAATAAAGCATAGCTACGAACAGCGGCACCATCTTCCTCGAGAGCCGTTACGTACACCTCCCCACCTTGAAGTGGCGAACCGATGCATACGATAGGTGATCATTTGCGAACATTGTCATTCGAAAGGTGAAACCTGAGCAATTCCGGTGCTTAGAAAACCCCTTGATAGCAGTGCAACCTGCATCTTATAATGGTGATCAATACGCTATAGTAAACAGTACAAATTTAACGCAAACGCGTTCGTGCGTTACAGAATATTTTGTTCAGGTGAGCCATCAGTTGAGAGAATGCAAATGAGTACATGAGTACATGGAAGTGGCGGAAACAGATGAATATCAGTACATCATAGGATCGGTTGTAGTGGCTGAATCGCATTGTTGAGTGCGAAAAGGTGACCCATTAATACGCAATAAGACGACTACAATAGTCGGTCACTGAACCGCACTTTACTCATGAATATGCTCATCACTTGTACAAAGAGGCCTTCCAATGGTTCTGCAACCTAAGCTAATCGCTCAAAAATTGGTTGGATCAATGAAAGTAAGTTACCAGAGAACATATGAAATAACTGGTTGCAGAATGTACAAGGAAGTTCAGCTAAGCTAATGCCACCGTTATCCTGTAGCTACACTACTTCAGTCCCTTGTTTCCAACATACGAGCACCTCCACGTTCACATGAGGGTTAAATTGGGATGTTTAGGAATGACGCCTTAAGCCGACGCATGAAAATGGGCCTGGCGCTCGAGAACATACTAGGTGGTTGCTTCAGACCGGGTAATATGTACGTCTTACCGCTCTCGTAGGGATAATGTTTAAGTCCATGCTATCATCTGGATAGGTCTTCACATAGTTTAGACATCAGCGCCAAGACGTTAGGTCAGATAGTATGCACACTGCAACATTCCGTACTTACCTGCGAGGTGTTCCCATATCAATTTGGCGATGGACTGGACCTCAGTGCCCGCCAGCATCGTCACTGGCTACTCATCTGTATGGTGTTGAGGCGCAGACAGTGATGCACGCGCTCGCACTGTTTGTCTCTCGGGTGAAGGTCACCCAGTTGTTTGACAGCTGCGCGTGCGCGCACTCACGTCTATAGTCAGCCAATCTATTGTGCGTGGGGCCGCATATTGAATGAGCGGGGCTTCGCACCCACCCACCCACCCTTCCGCACCTTACAGCCACTGGCTTATGCGATCGCGCAGCTGTGTATGCCGCACGCCTGTCAGAACTGCGGGTTACTAAATTGCACCGTGACTATTCTGGTCCGCGAGACGCACTCGCCTCGCTGGTACTCGTGAGCTGCATGGACGTAAAAAACCCCGGCAACTTGAATACTCAAGGGACTGCATCAAAGTGGTCAGGATAGAAAGGTCAGCATACAGAGATCTATAGTCCTACGGTCTACATGGTATACGTTCAAACAATGGAAAAGCGATCAACTTAGAGTGGTGGTCGACACCGGAGGTTTTACTGTAGTTCAGCTTGTGTGTCTTCGTGTTTTGAGAATTTCTTACCGAACCGTGCTGCAGTATCAGTGTATTAATGCGGAGAAAATGAGTGTCGTGATTGTCTTAGAGAATTGTGAAAGTAATTTTGCAACTTTAAAAAGTTGCCTGCTATGAAGCACTAGTTTAAGCACCAGGGGGTTAAACTGCAGGCGATGTCTTCAGGCCGCAATCGGAGTCACGTAGGCAATTTCCAGCGACTGAGAAGCAGCACTGGGCTGTCTCATCTCCAGTGCAATAAAACGGTGTAGGGCATGAGCGATGCGAAGCAAACGAGTCTTTCTCAGAACATGAGTCTGCGTTCAACTTGGTTACTACCCGAGTATACGTACAACGACCAGAAAACTTGTGAACTACATTTCTCGTCAATTACAGTAGCACATACACACGCCGGTTTTCGGCACTGCTTGGGTGGACTGACAATGTGTAGCAAGCGATCTATTGACCCATTCAGAATCCAACGACCCGTATATGGATTAGCACAGAAAGCGGACGGGTTTGTGAGTATGATCTGTGTGCTGGGGACACTCCAGTTGAATTGTTGATTTGCAGTCCTAGAGTCGGCTTCCTAATCCCAACGACAGACCCCAAACTAACGCGTTCAGTAGCCCTGCACTGTTCATATCTGACAGTGCTCTACGTTTACGCCTCTGTTGCCCACCTCTACAGACAGTGAAGGGCGAGGAAAGCCTGCCGTAGACCCTCACTCTGTTGGCCATACGAAGGTAAAGTGCACGGTATAATTCTCTGGGACCCCGTTCACTAACAAGCAACGCCATATAGCAAGACGATCAGCCGAGTCAAATGCATCCCGTATGTCTAAGAACTGCGACGATGATTGGTCAGTAGTAATGGTGGTATTTGGTATACCGTGTCTCATGATGACGTTGCTGTTGCATACGTAATGTTTCTTCACCGCAGTTGGCCTACACCGAATTACACTTAGACTAGACTAGACTTGGATAAACGGTGTTCACTCCAACCATCCTACGGGACCTGTCAAGCACATGCTTTATGACCCGTGATAAATCATTCTGCATGGTTTTTTGTTCGTTTTGATTTGCTCAGTGCTGTTATTCTGCTGCGTTTTCCGTGCCAGCATTGTACATTTATTTTCCCTTGAATTCTCTGTCGGTTGTTTGATATCCCCGGTATGGCTGCTCTTTATGTGAAGGTTGACAAGGTGCCTACCTGTCTAACACCATCCACCCCGATTACTGGCTTCAGAAGACTGTATCGTTTCTGGGGGGGGGGGGGGGAAGGCGTGCACGGTTCTCGTGGTCGTGCTAGACTCAAAGAGCGGTTTCGTCCCGTGTGGAGTGAACTACGGCCCAGCCACCGCCTTGTGTTAGTCTGCTAAGCATGATTCCCATAGTAGACAGACAGGAACGCTGCTGTTATACTTGTTGAAGGAATGTGGGCCAGCTCGGCTGATGAAACTTGGCTCCCATCCGCATGCCTCCCGGTCTTATTTCTTCGGGTTTACACCGGATATGGGGTAAGTGGGTGCAACTGTGGGTGGTGCGACACAGGCCACCCATGGCTGCAGTGACAGGCAAATCCGGAACCGGATGCCGCCAACCATTTGGTATACCGTTATGAGATCTCCGCGTAGCCAACGGTAGTGTCCATTGAACACTCCGAGTTTCTTCAGTTGTTCCTGGTACGGAAGGTGACACGAAGCCTCGACATTCCTCTTTGCTTGACTTTACGGGGTCTCGAACAAGCCAACGTTGCCAAGCGTGGATAGCCCATTCGAAGTGAGGAATTACGTAGACATTGTGTATCATAGTAAGGATAGATGAATCCAACTCCCCGGAATACCTTCCACGAGAGACTACCTTGCTAGTTTACACTTTTTGACGCGGACTCAGGATTTCTAGAACAACTAAGATCGTCCTCTAAGAGCACACTGTGGTCGCGTTCCTGAGAGGTGGTCTGCATATCTTGCGCTACAAGCGTGTAGATATAGGTATGTCGATGGCGGATATGAGCAACACGGCCCTTGTCCACTGAATGGCATCGCGTTCCTCACCAGCCAATTCCCAGCTCCTGTCATGTCGCGGTCTTCCAATCCCTTGATCGCCTGCCAGACATTAAGGTTGTCCGCGAAGGATCAATCTTTTGTAATGACAATCCTCGCTTGATCGTTAATGAAACTAAGAACAGACAAGGCAAAAATACTAAATCCTGTGTTGCGCCGCACTCTACTCGAATCGGGTCGGACACAGATGTACGGACTCTAACCCCAATTTCCGTTTGCAGAAAATGTTACTGATCCATCCTACTACTGGAGCTCCGATATCATAGTGCTGTATTTTGTGAACCAGCATACGACGATCAAAACGACTGAACGCTTTCAAAGGCTCAGGAAGATGGCATCGGTTCATCTCACCTCTTCAGCTGTTGCGGGCCTTGCTGCTCCAGATCAAAGATGTCATAGTTCTTCAGGTAGCCCGTCAGTACGTCTGCGATGATCGCTTCCGTGACTTTGGCGAGTACATGGAGAAGCGTTACCGGACGGTAATCGGCAAGCTCAGATCCCTTGTGAATAGGGATGACAATACCCCGTTTCTACTTTGCCGAAACTATATTCTCCTCTAGACAACGCATTGCCTCTGCCCAATTGGAGACTGCCCAGACTCGACTCACTGCGCTACTCGAGACGCATTCCCGCCTAATGCCAATACTGGATGGCTTATCGTTGTGTTGCAGGATTGTGTTTACTAACTTCTGCAAATTTACCCTTGGTCGTACAAAGGAGAAATGTAAAGTCCGGTGGCAGAATTCACTAGTTGACAACCGGGAGGAGCCTGCTTATCGTGACCCCAATACCTACGTTTTATACCTGTCAAATGTTCCCCTTGATGCCTTACAACTGAAAGCATTATCGCGCGGAATGGATTACAAAGTCCCACCTGGTAAGCTGAACCGCTTGTTCATAGAGGCACAGTTTGAAAATTTTTATGATCAGTTAGCAGGATTACAGGTGTCTAGTCCAGATATATCAAACTGGTTTAGGAACAAACTAACTGATATTGCCCATGAGGTCACAATGACGCCAGTGCGTGAGAAGTGTTTGCTAACAAGCCGTCACCTTTGTGCACTACGAGAGCTGAGGACGAAGGGGGTGATTGTACTTAAGCCAGACAAAGGCTCAGGAGCCGTCATTATGTGCAAGGAAGAATACACACAGAAAATGCAAGATTTACTGAGTGATGCTAGCAAATTTAAACTCCTTACAAGAACAGAGGATGTTAGTGAAGTGGAAAGACGCATCACGGAACACCTAAAGTTGCTCCTCTTACACTGCGTAATTGGTGATGAGGTATATAACAACCTAAAACCGGGAGGGTCCAACATATCTCAACTATACGGTTTGCCAAAGACCCATAAATGTGGTATACCGCTTAGACCAATCTTGTTAATGGCAAACTCGGCACAACACAAGTTGGCTCGTGGGCTGGTGGAAGTTCTTGCGCCGTTAAAAAAGCAGACTATCCCACGCCGTCTGAAGGACTCTTTCGAACTTACAGAGGCTTTAAATGAGTTTAACCTATCCGATAAAGTCATGTCCACATTGGATGTACAATCGTTTTTCACCAATGTTCCGCTACATGAAACAGTTGATTATGTGTGTGAAATGGTAGAGTGCTCCGATTTTACTCTTCTAATACCAGTCGAATTATTAAAGGACCGCTTACAACTATGCACTGAGAACATCGGTTTCCAATTCCAAAACATTCCCTATCGCCAGATAGATGAGGTGGCAATGGGTAGTCCGTTGGGCCTAGTGCTAGCAGATTTTTTCGTGTCAATGATTGAAAAAAGTTGAGTGTGGAAATATCGCTTCTTTCCTACTGTAAGCGGTATATGGATGATATTTTAGTGTTTAGCTCATCAGAGGAGCACAATGCACGTCTGGTCGATCGCCTGAATAACGTGCACACGAATCTGAAAGTAACCAGCGAAACAGAGAAAAGCAACTGCCTCCCATATCTGGACGTGTTGATTTGCCGAAGAGCAGATGGGTCCATCAAAAGAGAGGTTTACCGGAAACCGATTTGGTCAGGACAGTACCTGCACTTTACCAGTTTCTCCCCAATGCGGTACAAGCGGACCTTAGTCAAGACGCTATTCAACCGTGCAAGGAAAATATGCACTGCCGACAGTTTAGATGATGAGATAAGCTCGCTCAAGGATACGCTGTTGAAAAATGGCTATCCAAGTAGATTCATCGACAAACATAGTCAGACGAGGGTGCCGGGACAGAATGTTTCGACAGTGTCTAAAAATAAGATCTACATCGAGCTA